ACACTATTTCATGAAACTCTGGGTTTAACTTTATGTATACGCACAGTACTTCATTTATACAGGACAGAGCTCTTTCTGAACCTAGTTATTTCACACACAAAGGCACGGTCAGAGTGGGACTTGCTTTTCCTGTGGGCAAATGCAACAGAAAACACGGAAGTATGGGGGGAAATGCCAGGGAACCATGCCAGCAAGAAAGCAGAATGGAGTAAAGAGAGAAGAACAGAGCCAAACGAAACGACGTAAAGCAGCACGGATGGAGCCCCAGGAGTTTCAGAGGCTCAGACCAGGAAACACTTCCGACTGTGTTCAGATTTTCAGTGACAACAGCAGAGTTAAGGTACCCAGAAATTCTCTCGCCTGGGTAATGGCTTAAAGCACTGAGCCAAAACCAGGTGTTATTTTTTCAATAAGTTTAAATTCAATGTCCTTAACTAGTAATTCACGACTTAGTTACATTAAAGACAAATTAGGGAACTTCTTGCAAACATTTCAAAGTACATACAGAAAAGAGAGCTAACGTCCAGACTAGTGTGCGGTAAATTCATACTACTGCAATTTTAAGTAGAAATAGAAATAAAGGTTATTCTAATTCGCTCCTTATTTTAAATAAATACTGAAAATAAGTAATTATAGAAATCATAGAGCAGTATTAGAATTAAAATTATTTTAAATCTGATTAAAAACAAATACTAGCTGTGATTTTTTTCAATAAATAATATCTGAGGAGCCAATGATGAAACATTCAATTAAGTTCTAAGGATAAACTGAGGTTACATGGGGAAAACATATGATGTGCTTCAGAAACAGTATACGGTCAATAAACTTAATATTTTGTAAATCTGGAACTAAAGGATTTTACCACTAAGAATAAATAAAAGATTTGTCCAACATTAAGAGTCAAAACAAATCATAGTTTATCATGGCTCTAAAACCAACCCCAAACATCTGGTTTACTCTCTCAATGACGCTTGTAAAATGTTGACAGCAGACACGCTGCCTTGTTACATAAGTGGTAGCATCTCCCGAATGGCTAAACTAATGGTCAAGTAGTTCACCTTACTAAAGTAAAACAACACTACGAAGTATTAATAAGCAAAAACAACAAAAGTGCAAAGCGTTAATTCCTATTCTGTTTTTTAAAAAATACACACAGATATATGCACAAAAAAAATCAGGAGCATAAAAATATTAACAACGATTATTGCTGTGTGATGAGAGTATGTGTCATTTTAATTTCCCTCTTAGTAACAGTTTGATGCATTTGGACAAATTTTCTACTAGTATTCCCAGTAAATTTTTTTTTTAAATAATTTAAACAAAAAACATAAGATGTAACTGTGATATAGAATTTTAAAAATCTATACATACCTATCAATTTAAAAGCAATCTAACAGACTTGTACTTAAAAAATCATGAGAAAATTCTGATATCTTTTATTTAGAGTAGGCAGAGGTCCTGAATTGAAAAACAAAAAACCTACTTATGAACAAAATGCTTGCTTTAGAATTTTCCAAGTTACTTCAGTTTGTTGGCCACACTTCCCACAGTACCTTACCCAGTAAATACAATGGTTTGCATTGTTATGCAGACTTCCTAGTTGAGAAATAACCATAGAATCCAAACCTCCAAAATGTGTGTGAGTATGTGCATCTGGGGGGAGGGTGGGCTTGAGGGCAGAGAAGAATGGGATTTCTAGAGGCTTACAGCAATTCAGAATGGGGAAAATGGAACTCCTCTTACAAGCGGCCATTGATGCACCTTGTAGCCCAACTTTGTTTCACAGAGGCCTATGGTGATCAGCTGTGCCTTCTGCAGAGTTAACTACTGAGCAGCTGAGAGAAGAAACTAGATGTAGTGAAAAAAGCATCATCCAGACTAACAATACTGCCCATATTAAGCTCTGTATTTTGAGTGAGAGTTTGGGTCAGAGAACAGAACAGTTTCTCACAGATTCCATTTAAATCTCACATGACCATGTTCACAGCATGCGCGATACATTCCAGCATGGAACTGCATTTTAATTTCCTAAAACCACAGGATGTAAGTCTGATTTCAAATAGTGTCTGGACTGTGATATTCAATACTGATAAAAGTGTAGTATTCTCTTGAAAGTTCCAAAATTTAGCTCATGGAAAAGGATCTTCATTTTCTTCTGTTAAAAATGAGACAACAGGTCTCAAATGGAGTCACTTATGCTAAGCCACGCGCCAGCAAACCTAGACTTACTACCTAACTTACTTACAGTTTCAGCCTAACCCAGGAATGGAATCAGTCTGGAGTTATCTGGTAATCCCTAGTGAGGTCATCTGCCTGACAGACCCTTGCCATCTCCTAAAGAAAGTGACCTTGCCACAAACAATAAGCTTTTTACGGGTAATACTTCCTTGTCTTGCCTCCTCTGCCTATAAAAGTCTTTCATTT